ATGGTGGGAAAGAAAGAAGAGAGAGAAGAAAATGAATAAAAAGTAAGGATAGCTGAGCCCTGATCACCTGACTGTGGGGCTGGAGGGGTTACAACTCTGCCCCAAGGTGGTGGGTGAGTGTGCCTGCTTTGGTGTAGAGTCCCACAGCTACTGGGTAGAATTACCCTCATAGACAAGGTCATAGCAGGGTTCAGGCAGAGGTTCCTGTAGCAGTGTGGCGTGCTGGAGCTGACTGGTGTAGCTGCCTTGTGCCATATGCAGCACTTCAGAAGGCGGAAGGAAGTTCCATCAGCAACGTGTAGGGCTGCGGGGGATAAGCAAGGTACCCCCAGCCACAAAAAGCACTGTCAATGGTGGGCAGGATTTCTCCAGTGGTGTGTAGAGCTACCAAGGGTGGACAGTAGCTCCCCCCATTGGGCATGCAGAGTTGCCCTAGTTTGTGCTGAGACTAATGAGTGCCCCAGTTGCTCAGAGTAAAAAAAAATTGCTGGCCAACTGGAACTGACTGAATTCACCACCTGGACTGATGTTTACCACAGTGGCTCCTTGTTATGTTGAAAGCCTCTGGGCTATGTTCTGGAGATTATTTCTGGCATTCCTTAGCTCTGGCTACCTTGTTATATTAATGTGCTCTAAAGGACAGTGTGTTGCAGGTTTGCCCGAGTTAAACAATGGGTCACAGCCTGGGATGGAAAGTTTTTACCAAGAAAATATTTTTCTCCTTTTTATATTGGACTTGTGGGATGCCCTGTGTGTTCGACAGGGTTCTCTAGAAAGACAAAACCAGATTGCTAATAATTATATATAATATATTAAATATATAATATTAAATATATATATTTATAAAGATAGATATATAACACAAGAAATGAACAGTTAAATTATATACAGATAGATAGATAATACAAGAAATGAACAGTTACATTATACAGCAGTACAAATGGCTCAGCGCAACTCACTCCTGTGAGAGAGTTGTGAGACACTGGCAGTCCTTCAAGTCTAGGGCCACCAGGTAGTCCTCTGTAGAGAGATTCAGGCCATCCCAGCACAGGCAGCAAACAGCAAGGCAAGTCACCAACAGTCAGCCAGGTCACCAACAGTCAGTCCTCAGCTCAAGAGATGTAAATTCCAATTGTGTGGCGAAGGAGGTCTTAAAGGGACCTCCCACATGTATTTATCGGGCAGGCTGGCACAGTAAACTATCTCACCCTGATTTGGGGGTTCTCAGACTGTCCCCCAGAGGAGGAATACTAGCTTATCAGAGTGGGCTTTTTTTTCATCCGCCAACTGGAACTGAATTCACCCTTCCAGCATTTGGCTATCTGTTTGTGCTCTGCTAAACTGCGATCTGACACAGGTAAATATCCCAACAGCTCTTCAATTGCTTCCAATCTCTGGCTCCCTGTGCCAACCCCTAGACTGCAAGCGCTGGGTAGCTAGCGGTACAAGGAACTCTGTTGTGAGGTCTTGTGGCTAGCTTTCAGAGGCTCTATTTGAGCCTGGGATTATGACCACTTTTAGACAGCACTCTTGGGTAATCGCTGCTTGCTGTGGGGCTAGGATGCAAGGAGGGGCTCGGGTCCAGCGGACCCTGCAAGTCAGCACAATGAACCAAGAGCATTTCAGTGTGTTCTTGATTCACCTTGTGAGTAAAATTTTGAAAAGGGGGTTCTAGACCAGACCTTAGTACCCTGATTCTATTTTCAGCACTCAGCTTCTCAGTCTAAGTCTCCTTACCTCTTAATTTTCTTGTCTGGCAGCAGGAGCTCTGGGAAAGTACATCCTTCTTAGATCTCTCCTTTATGACTTTTAATGTAACGTTTATTTTCCTGTGCCTTTGAGTTCTCAACCAAGTGATTTCCATAATATAGGGCTGACTTTAAGGTGTAATAGAAGAATGAAGCAATTACTCAAAACTGAGGGGTAGGATGGGGTTTCCATTTCCCTGGGGCAAATGAACAGAACCTCTTGGGACCATAGGGCTAGGACCAGCCTTCATGAACTTGAAGAATAGATACTCTCAAATTGGAGTAAGCATTGTTTCCATACCTGTAAACCATGAAGGTGGGGCTGAAAGGCAATCCACAGAATTTAGAAGGCACAGCCAATGCCTAGAATCTGGAGAACAAACTCTCCTCCAGATGGCTTATAATTATTTTCATGATTTGAGACCTAAAGTGTTGTTCTTTAACAATAATTTGCACTATAAATTAGGTAGGGTTTACTTTTTTGACCATCAATTTTGTATTCAAAATTTAAACCACCAACCCAACTCCCCAATCATTTGCCCTTCACCCACTCCTTGATTTTTCTTCTACTATCTTCACTTTCATTTAAGTTAACATTCAACAGCCTAACCCACTCTTTATCTTCCCTCCATTTCCCTTTTCTCTTTGGTGATTTCCAAAGTCTGTTGCTATGAAAGTCTTTATCTTGTTTTTATGTGTTTGCTTGTTTAATTTCTTCCTTATAATAGTGATCTCATATAGTAATCTGCCATTTTGTGATTTCACTCAGCAGAGAGCTAATGTATTTGGACGGGCTGTTGTAGTTATCTCTTCCTTCCTTGCAATCTCTTTCATTTTTAAGGAAATGTCTACCTTGGGCTTGTTCTACCATTGTACTTTACAAATAGATAAATTTTAGCTTAGATTTCACAGAATCATAAATTAAATTCATAGAAAAGAAGACTCAAATCCTCATAACAGGATAAATAGATGGCATCATAATAAATGGAGTCCTTGCTCGTGGAAAAAAAAGCAAGATATCAAACACATTATATTGGATGAATCTGAGGCAAAGACCTGTTTAAAGTGTTAAAAATCAAGGATATTATTCTGAGGACTAAGGTGCACCTCACCCAAGCTATGGTATTTTCATTCATCTCATATTCATGTGGAAGTTGGACAATGAATAAGGAAGACCAAATAACAATGGATAGTTTTGAATCATGGTGAGGGAAAAGACTATTGAAGGTACCATGGACTGCCAAAAGAACAAACCAATTGTGTTGGAAGAAGTCCATCCAAAATGATCCCTAGAGGCAAAGAAAGTGAAACTTCATCTCATGTACTTTGGACATGAGAGGGATTTTGCCTTGAGCTGGAGGACACCTAAAGCCATCCACTTTGAATTTAGACTCAAAAATGAGGGTGTGCTGTTTATGATGATGTAAGCCTTCTGTGAGGTTATGATGCCTTTTGCATGTGGCAGGCATGAATTTAGGGAATCAAAGAGTGAAACATTATGGATTGAATTTTGTCCCCCAATGTAGGTGCTTCATTTCTTAACCTCTATGCCTGTTATAATCCCATTAAGGAATGGGTTGTCTTTGAGAGGCTAATGAGGTAAGGTTATTAGAATATATCTTTAGCAAATCTCTCTTCATATGTAAGAAATATTAAGCAATTGAAATGAGAAATTGATTTTAATCTTTTAATATGTAAGAAATATTAAGCAATTGAATTGAAAAATGAGAAAGCAGAAATAGAGAGCAATTGGTGTCAAATCACATAGAGATCTCTAATGAAGCAGTAAACAGCAGAAGAGATGAGGACATTTCTCCAAGACCTTCCCATAGAGCTGTAGAGTGAAGAATATGGAAAACCCAATACAACTTCTAAAAAGTTTATTCCTTCACTTAAAATCTAACTAATTCACCAGAGGAGGTACACTGGTACAGATAGGAACTGAAAATACAGGGAATCCAGGATGGATGAGCCCTATAGGACCAGTGGTGTGAGTGGCAAAACAGGGAGGGTAAAGGGAGAATGGGTAGGAAAGAGGGAACCGATTACATGGAACTGTGTGTGACCTCCTCCCTGGGGGACAGACGACCGAAAAGTGGATGAAGGGAGAAGTCAGACAGGGCAAGATATGACAAAATAACAATTTATAAACTATCAAGGGCTTATGAGGGGGGGGGGGATGAGGACCTAATGTCGGGGGTTTAATTGGAGAGAAAATGTTTTGAGAAACGATGTACAAATGCGCTTTACACAATTGATGTGTGTATGGATTGGGATAACAGTTGTATGAGCCCCTAATAAAATGTTAAAAAAAAACAAAAAAATCTAACTAATTCTTCATAAGTGCCTGGAAATGCTAAAAACAACTAAACTAAAACATTACTACTATTTCTCTGTATATTACCATACTGACTTCAGGGATGAAAGCTTCCATAGTACATACTATCTTAATTTTAAAATATATCTTTCCCAGATATTCCAGGCTAAAACTCTCCACGACCCACAATCTACTTTTATTTATCAGTAGTAAAATAATTTCATAAGTAAGCAAAATGTGTTGAATAGTAAGTACATACATCACCCAAATATTACAACATAGTGTGTCAGAAATCCAACTACAATTCAATGTTAACAGGTTTTTTAGTTTTTGTTCATATTGTTTTCTTTGAACTTTATATGTAAAGCCCTATCTGTAAATGCTAAAAGAATTAAGTCAGATACATGATAAAATAATACAGTGGAAAAGAAACGTCAACTGAGATAAAATATCACAAAGTTGAAAAAAATTAGTAAGTAGAAGAGAAAAAAACTAGTAGAATATTTGCAGAACATTCATCATAAGTGAAATTGTGAACTATGTGACTTGAAGCTATATTTATTTTATGGTGGATACCTTTAGTTCTACATTAGAAATTATCTGATACATCCACTGTTGTCACAATAATCACTGATCATTTCAACAATATGGTTTCACTACTGATATTGGCTTTCTAAATGCATACATTACTGAGAATTCACTCTTTATTGGTAAAAATAATTAGTCATCCATTTTGGGTGGAACTTTGAGGGAAAAGAAGTCCTACGATATTGTTATGTTTGAGAACTCCCAGAAAAATGAAGGGTACTTATACATGCACACTAGTTTTGTGAAAATAGAAAGACATCCTAGAGACATATATTTTTAAGCAAAGTAGAAGTTAATGCCATAAAGATTATTTCAGAACTATGTAAATGGTACTTAAATCTTCTCTGTTACATTTTCAGTAGATTACCTAAAATACGGATACGTATCTCCCGGGTCTTAATGCAGTATACAATTGGGTTGAGAACAGGAGGAACTAATAAATATACATAGCCCATAATAATGTGTACCACAGCTGGAACATGCTTCCCAAAGCGATGGATAATGGATACTCCAAGCATTGGGACATACACCAGCAACACAGCACAGACATGGGAAACACAAGTATTGAGGGCCTTGAATTGTTCTTCCTGGGAGGCAATGCCTAACACAGTGATCAGGATCTTCAAATAAGAGAGGAGGATTAATACAGAGTCCAGTCCAAAGGTGATGAGAATTATTATGAGGCCATAGATGCTATTGATACGGTGATCAGAACAGGAAAGCTTGATGATGTCAGGGTGCAGACAGTATGAGTGAGAGAGCACATTGGGCTTACAAAACATCAGCTGTTTAATAAGAATGGGCCCAGGGAGGATGACAGCCACAGCCCGTATCAAAATCCCTATGCCTATCTTGACAATGGTGGCATTGGTCAAAATAGTTGTGTACCTGAGTGGGCTGGCGATAGCCACATATCGGTCAAAGGCCATAGTCAGTAGGATGCCTGATTCCATTAAGGAGAAAACATGGATGAAGAACATCTGGGTGAGACAGGCATCAAACTCTATTTCAGGAGCATTGAACCAGAAAAGCTTGAGCAGAGTAGGCAGGGTGGTAGTGCACAGTCCCAGGTCACTTGCAGCCAGCATGGAAAGAAAAAGGTACATGGGTGCATGAAGTGTCTGTTCTATCCAAATAACTACTAAGATAGCACTGTTCCCCAGAAGGGCAATTAGATACAGGACACAAAACAAAATAGATATCTTTGGATGTGAAGCCTCCAGGCCAGGGAAGCCAGTCAGAAGAAAGGGTCTGAAGTTACTGCTGTTGAGGAAGACCATGATGTTTAATTGATAGTCCTGTGGTGAATAGTCACTTTTTTTCCACAGTAAGAGAGCCTGGTTCAGAATACTAATACCATTTTCATTTCCAATGAACAATATGCAGCACAAAGGTCAATAGTTGCTTCTCCCTAGAGTGATAGAGTCTTCATTAATGCACCATAACGATTATCTTTGTCATGAATAATTCTATAATCATGAGTTTATGCTAGGCACCACGTAAAATCAGTTTGCTTCCTTATCAACCTTTGAGTCATATAGAAACTTTCAGCCATCAGTAAACTTTGACATAGAAAAGTATATAAAAACTTTCATTAAATGTTAGACTTTGCCGTATGGAACTAATTTAATTAAGACATGAAATGATATAGAGATTATACCTACATAACTTTTGGTTATGAATGGATTACATCTGCTGTGAGAGGATAACTTAATCCAACTTTGTGACATTAAAATCTGGTTGAATATGTAGTAAGTAAAAAAACTTCTTCCTTATTTTTAACTTTTATTATCTCTCTTCATGCAAATTTAAAAAAATTGAATGAGAGGAAAAATATGAAGGTATAAATACCATCTGTAAAGGATCCTTATGAATGCAGAAAGGACTGCAAACCTCTATGAGTGATTAAATTAGATTACATTTGATTCAGTCCCTACCTATATGTAATTCCAGCATCCTTTTATGTGAAAGTGGTGACTTATATGTGTCAGAATAAAACTGTGTTTTATAGGTTACTCAAGAGCTGATATTTTAGGAACTTCCTCTGCTATGCCCTTAGGTAGTTATTAATTCTGTTACTTCTGTATAGATTTACCTATCCTGAATTTCATATAAAGGAAGACATAAATGCACTAACAGGAAGCAAATAAAATTAAAACAACAATGAGTAGAGAAAACATAGAGAAACCTCAATAAAAAAAGCAGAAAATATTAAAAACTGAACTTTCAAATGAGTCAAAAAGGGATCTAATAAAGAATTACAATTTAACCTAACTACATCTTCCAAAGTTAACTTTATAATACTCTCTGTCAGATGGCAACGTCTTCCCATCCCTGTTCAGAGGGGATTCACTGGAGGCTTCATCCATGTGAGGACCCCATAGATGCATTAGACTTCCTATGTCATCTACCACCTTCTGGAAATTCAGTGTTCATTTAAGCTCAGATACTATTCTTTCCTTCAGATTTGTGTTTCATTATTTCCAATCCTTGGATGACGTAGGCTGGTGTGCTTCTTCCATGTGGACATGATTGACACCTCACTTATATGGCTGCTTGTTTGAAGACAAGACTCCAGAAACTAATCTTTCTCATAGCTGGACATCTAATTACTTCACCACACATTGCTATGGCACCCATATCTTCAGTGATCTCTCCATGAGGGCAAGGGAGTATCCAGGAGAGCCTTCTCATAAGAACTAATTGTTCTTAGATTGGGATTAGAATTAAATGCACTGCTCTGAATTTTAGTTTAATTTATGTTTAACTATACTGTAAATAATGTGGTGTTTGAAAGTGATGTTTTTAAAAATATTTTCCAATGGTGACAGTTTAGACAATTTTTAAAAATGTGTGTATATGTCTGTTTATCTATCTATCTTTATGGGTATAAATAGTCCTATTTTTCCACCACAGAGTAGCTGGTTGGTTGAATAACGAACCTTTCAGTTATCAGTCCAACACTTAGTTTGAAATTACAATGTGATTATAACAAATTAATTCTTTATGGACAATGTGAATATTATCAAATTATTAACTGGAAAAAGTTACTCTAAATTTCAGTAATGCAACAGAAGCAAATGGATTGTGTGTTGGGAATTCTCCCTGAGAGGTAATAGTAAGCCAATATTTAATTTAAGTCAATTTCCAAGGGTTTTTTGGAAATGTCCAGAGGGTTGGGTGAGTGGTGGAATAGAGTATACCAAAAAGGGAGAAAAGTACATGCAAAAGGCATGCATCAAGAGAGGGCCTGCAACTATTTGGAATACGTAATAATTAAAATGATTTTTTCTTTTTCTTTTTTTGGCGGATAAAGGCTTGTCCTGAGGAGAAGACTGTAAAAAGACTGTGGAAATGAAAAATCCAACAATTTTTTTATGTCATTTCAAATAATTAAACAAATACCAGAACAATAATCTTGAGTGTGTGTGTGGCCACGATCAATGCAAAATTGCATCCCTATTTATAAAAGATAGTCCTAAGTGAGCTGTGGAAAACAGCAAGGGAGTATTTCATCTTTCACCACAGGTGTTTTATTTTGTTTTTATAACCTGTCTCAAGAAAGCAGTTTTTTCTAGTAACAGCTGACATGTACTTACTAGAATACCACTATAACTAATGAATCACGGCAATTTTATAAAATAGTTCTTTTAAATTGTTGAAGCAATTTATGGGGAGAATAAAAATTCTAGTTTTCTCTTGTTTTGTAGGTGAGAAATCAAGCCAGGAAAACCAAAATGACTTTTCCCATAACAACCCCAAACTAGCAGGACTAAGATTTTAACTGAATCAAGAATAGAAAGTGTACAATACATTGCTTTTTGGAACACAGTGTACTGCTTCATTAGTTAGCTGTACTATTGCATGAAAAGGAAAAGCACAGACCCCGTCTTGGTTTAATGCTTTTATGATGTTGAGCAATTTACTTAAGATCTTCAGGCCTAAGTTTTGCATATACATTACCTCATGTATTGTGGATAATAAAAATAACAGTATCTAGAGAATAGGGATGCTGTGAGAAGATAAGTTAATTCATAGTACACATTTAAAAATAAGCCAAATACCAAAATATTTTCTGAAGTATTGAATAGAAATATTTCTTCATTGAGAACCTCACATGCTTCTTTGCTATTAAAAAACACACACATAGATTTCTTGAATCCATGATTGTTGACTGCAAACACAATGCAGAGAAATTTGAGGGGCAAACTTTCTAAAATTAAATACTAAGAATTCTTTCCATGATAATGTATGATATTCCATACTTATTTAGTGAGAATCTGTTGTTTGCATTGAACATTTTCATTGCTCATTTTTAGATATCCTTTGACTCTGAAATTTACATCTTTAGAATGGAGACAGTGAAAAAATGGCTTAAGGAAAAAAAATATCCTCCCAGGGTCCCTGATCTAACTACTCATGTAACCAAATTTTGAAAAGAAATAAAGTCTAGGTATAGCAATTACCTTTAAAATTACCGTTCTCTGAGATTTCAGTTGAGAGCCAAAGACACAGCTGCTTTCCCACCATCTACAGTATTCATCATTTGTCGACCACAGGCAGAAATACATGTGCCCAAAATGTGACTGCTCTTAAGGAGTTTTATAGCTGTGCGTGTGTTTACCAGCCTACTCATGAACCACCCTGAGATTTTTCCTTGAGAATAGTACCTGTGGTTCAATACCATTATGAGTGATTCCCTAGAGCTCGCCACCTCAAATGTAAGTTACATTTTAATTGTATACTTACCTATCTGGACTTCTTGTGCTCATCTTAAATCTAATGTTATTTTTCTATTTCATGGAGCATAAAACAATACTATTTCACACTACATGTCCACTATTTTTCTCCCCAAGCTAGGATCTTCACCTATCTCACTTATCATAATAGTATGTGCAATTAGTTTAAAATATCATTAACTGTCTTGTTAAATGTATGGACTTCTCTTCACTCCACTATTTTATTAATTTAGAATATACTAGTTAAACTTTTCTTAGGTTCATAAGCTGTCTGGCCTGTTCTTTTCTTGAGTGTGTTTAGTAATAGAAAAAAAATTAACTTATTCAAAGAAATAAAGCTATGCAAAAAGACTAATTCTATGTCTCTGAGATAGTAATATAAGATTGGCGTTGACCTGATTGTTATATTAATTTTGAAAAAAAGGCTCTAAAAATTAACTGCCACAATATCAAGGAAAAAATTATAATTATGAACTAATAATGGTAAAATTAATCATATATGAATATTGAAAGGGGGAATTTCAGCTTTGCAGAAATTTAGTTAATGGTGATGGAACAATTTAGAAAAGAATTGTGAAAACAGTTGTACAACTTGAAGAATTACTGAATGTTACTTAATTGTTCAGAAAGAAATAGATCATGCTAAATTGTTGATCATGTTTTGTTATATATATTTACATAATTCTGAAATTAATTAATGATATAGACAGCATTCAAGAAATAAATAAGTAATGTCCATAGCTGAAGGGAAATAATTAGAACATGCTGATTTTTTTAAAAATTGTAATACAATGATGAGTGTCTAAGTTCATTGTTAAGCAAATCATGACTAAAGAAATAAGAAGAAAGTTTGAAAATAGGCCTGTTTATACTTGTGAAAAGCAAAATTATATTTACTTGCTAAGAGCAAAAATTAAAGAGAAAAAAGATTGAAAAAATTAAAGCAAAACATTTTTAAACTGTGTGACTGTTACAATATAGTTATTGTATACTAGTAGTTGCAATGGTTAGAAACATAGAGACTAGAGAAGATAAAACACTTTAAAAGAAAATTATACCTACTAACATGCCATATTCAAATTACAAAAATTCAAATACAACCAATTTTATAAAAAATAAAAAGGGGACTTCTGGGAAGATGGTGTCAGAGTGACACATACCAGAAGGACCCCACAGAATCCAGCCCAGGAGAGTTTCTTAGAGGGAACTTCAACACAACTGGAACGCAGGAGGAGCATCATAAAGATAAGTCGACACAGACCCATGGGGTTTTGAGGGGCTTGGGGCTTTTGGCTTACCTCAGTGCAAGATGGCTGGGGCTTGACCTTGGCCCCAACACTGTCTCTGCCAGAGCTGGGATCATTTGGAGCCCGCAGGGGAATTTGTTCTCAACACAGCCACAGTTTGCCCCCGCTGGCCTCAGGGAAGGGACTGGACCCTTGCAGCTCCACAGGCAGGGATCAGGGTTCAGCTACATTGCAGCTTTTGTTTACATCTCTGCTCTCTGTTCTCCCACATTATTGGAGGTCTGCCCAGGGGCT